GAGAAGCCAAATTATTCTCTATTATTATATGGTTTAATGATGAATCTGTTGAATGTTACCCATCCACTTGCATCCAATGGTTTCTCCTCCCTAACACCAGCATCATGTCAGACAAATAGTTTTTTTAATCAGGAGGAAGTGGGGAACCTTGTGCTACAACCTCTGCTTTCTTTTCTCTTTTCAAATTTAATGACATTTGTCATACATGTTCTAACTGTAAGACAGAAGTCACTGAAACTTTTGAATCATGAGGAAGCATGGTGGGTCCAATTCCAATATCTGTTCAGTATTAATCTACACTCCTTCTGAGATCAGGAATGTTTGAACATGATAGGCATTTATTTAGAATTTTTCTACAGAAAAGTCTGGGACCAAAATAGTTATGAAGGCTTCTTGATGCCTATATTCAAAGGAATCATGTTCTTTTTCTTTCAATATTCTGTTCATTACTTGCTCGTTAAAAAGCTATAAATGTGGTCCTCAACTCTGCTTTTAAGCTTCAGCTAATCTTTGCTGAAGTTGACAGGAAGTTTAGAGTGAAATGTTGTGTTTCCTATTCGTATATCCTGTAGTCACCCACGGATTTCCTCAAACAGATTGTAGCGTATATTACATAATTGAAAATCGAGTTGTTGCATACACATAAGCAATGGAATAAAAGATTTTATTAACATGAAATAATTTCAATAAAAATACATTCACCAACAAATCTCCAAATCACATATACATAACATATTTTCTAATCCTAGGTTTCATGTCACATACATACTGATACGTTACTAACACAATTTTAGCAAAGAACAAAGATGAATGAATTTGATATTTCTTCAAAGGCCTAACCTCAGATCCAAAGTGAAGCCTGGGGAATAAGATGAACCATCTTCAACTGGGGCTGGCGAATTCAGGTCCAGACCAAAACCCTCTTTGGCTGCAAGAAGGTTCAGCCCTTGGTTCAGTGATGCTTCATCCAATTTCTCCCAATGGCGCCTCTTGTGCCCCCCCAAGGCTTGACCGCTAGAAAAAACCCTGAAACAAATGCTACATTGGTGACCCAAAACCATCATCATCTTGTTATCCTCTTCCACATTCTCCTTGATTAACCCATCATCATCCCCACTTTGATCTTGATAAAAATCTCCACCATCACCTCTTGTTATGGCAAAACAACCCTTGATTTTCTTGTTACTAGCCTTGTGCCCTCCCAAGGCCTGGTGTGATCCAAAAACCTTCTTGCAACTCGAGTAATCGACCTGGTAATTCACACCAGAATTTCCCCCAAAAACACAATTTTCCCCTACCCCATTTTGGGAACTTGTACCACACTCACTCTGGTCACTAGCATTGGCTCCCTTGGCCAACATCAACAAACATGCTGCAACCTCCTGATCCTCTTCTGTCATCAAGGTCTCCACATCATTTATCTGATTAAACGGAGAAATGGGGCGGCGGTAGTTCGGAGGTGGGTTAATTCCCCGCCACTGCCGCTCAGGGTGGCACCTCATGTGTCCAAACAGTGCCTTCTCTGACCAAAACCTCTTTCCACATTCAGTACAAGGCCTGGTAATCTTGGGTGCACCAGGGTCAGGTTTCTTGGGATATTTAGGCTTGGAAACAGCGCCAGAACTCGTACCAGCATCAATCTTTATCACTCTGGATCGTTTCTTCCTGGAATTTTGTGTGCAATTCACGGTGGAGCTTGAGGAGGAAGGCAAATTTGGGTTGATTTGAGAGGAAAAGAATCGAAACCTGGGACCAGGATCAGAATCCATGCTTCACTTTACAGAGATAACATTAATCAATGAGGGTATGGAGATCAGAAAGAGAGTGAAAAAATTGTAAGAATGGTGGAAGTTGTGCTTATGTAGTAGTTTAGGCAGTTACTAAAAGACAAGTTTTAAAATGGGCGGTTTCTTTCAGTTACCGAAGACACGAGGTAGTTATCGTGATGTGCTGCATTTACCCATTTTCGTACTGCCCTAATCCTTTAATTTTCTTGTTTTCCCTTTTTTTTTTTTTTCACTTAGTATATATTCTTTTATTCTTTTTCAATAAAAAGATATTTTTCCTAATTTTTAGAAATAAATCAAGACTTGAGCATGTATGTAAAATTGAATTTTACTGTTTTGTAATTGAATTACCAAACAAAAACTATTGAAAGAGAAGGAGCTATCAACGTTTAAAAATCCACTTACAATTCAGATTTTATAATATTATTCTATATGTAACTACTTTCTTTTTGGGTAAGAAATTGAGATTGCTTTGCAAATAAAATACTCACTCTAATCTAAATTTAACATTTTAAGTTTTTATATATAAATTTTAAATAAAAATTTACTATATAATAAATGACAAATATCTAACACTTGGTGGCCTAATGGTCACTTCCTTACGGGACGTATTTAGAACTAAAGAACTTAAGGTCAAATCTCAAGTCTCCCATTCCCCTTTCCCAAAAAAAAAAAAAAAATTCACACTGTTCAAAAAAAATGACAAATGAAATTTTTTTTTGAAATAAAAACACTCAGCAAGAACTATATGTTAAAAGAAAATTTTGATTATTTTTCATACAAATTATTAAATTTTTATTTAAAAGTCAAAAAGCCAAACTAAGGCTACCAACCAAAAATGAACGGAGAGGATAGAAACTGAACACAGGGCAGACGTAGTGAAGGAAATTGGAAATAAACAGATAAAATGCTGGCATTAATCAGACAGAAGATTAAGCTTAGTAGCAGCTGCACATAGGATCATTTAACCAATATTATGAGTCATTACAGGTAGAATTTGTTGCTGTCTGTAGCTTTTGCCGGGAAATACATCATGATATATTCCAAGGTGGAATGTGCAGTAAAAACCCGGCAATCACAAGGCAGGTGAAGTTGAAGGAATACGCACAAACAATTTGTACACCCACTCCCAACATGGACAAGTTACAACAATCTATGGCTGATCTTGATGAGATGAGGGTGCTTTAACATTCTTCATAGTTTTCCCCAAGACATTTAGAAGTGCAACACGGTCCATCTCTTTTGCTGCAAGAATGGAGAACAGATGATGGATAATATCAGCTTCCTGTTGAGTAAAGATAGAATAGGGAAAGGGAACACAATAATAGGCAGACAACAGAAAACTTGTCTTCTACAATGTCCCACAAGTCCGGACAGACAAATGCATAACAGGATATTCATGACAGTTAGGAAATTAAATATTGATAACTAAGATGAATCTATGCAATCATGCATATATCCTGTGTAGTTACTGCATAATACACACACTACATTGCCCAACAAAACCAAGTTGAATCTCATAATAAGGCAAGTGACTGCAGCCTGTCTCATGTATGCACAAAGACAGGTGTAAAAGAAACCCTCTTTAGGGAAGGGAAGCATACCATAGAATTGTAAATTTTGAAGGACTAAATGAAGGAATATTTTCAAAATTATCTAGAACTTCAGGGTCTAAAATCCTCTTTTATTTTTTGGGAGAGGTAGGACATTGATTCCATTTGCTGTGTGTGCAGACAGTTAAAAAGGTAACCTAGGTGTGCAGCAACCTTGCTATGGTAAGTTTTTAATAAAGCCAATCTATAATGCACTAATGGTTGCCAACGTAGATTCAGGCAAGTTAAGTGCCTGGACTGAAATATCAGAACTGTGGGTTTATGTGCTGAAAAATGATAACAATATATTTGCTTATATGATGCTTGCCACATAAATATGCACCATCATACATATGGCATGGAAGGCCACCAGGGAAGGGAAATGAGAATGTATACCTCTTCCTCCTAAAATAGGGGCCAACAGGTCATTGACACCAATAGTCAAATCAGAAAAGTCAGAGGTGTAACAGCAGATGCAAGAACATAGAATAACTTGACCCCGGGTTAAGGCAAATAACACAAGCCATAAATCATAAGCAATATAAGAGAATATATTAAAAGCAGGGTAATTTGACTGACATCTTAACAAATCAGTCTATCTGAACAAATCTCGTCCAAATATAAAATGGAGTCCTAATGTAAAATGGTATAGAATCAAAAAAGGGTTACCTTCCTCTAGCGTGAGCTGGATTGACCTCTTTTCCAACTCAACCGCATGTCTGCTAAGTTCAACTGAAGAAAGTGATCGAAGCACTGAAACAATTATATGAATAAAATTCTAAATGAGTATCATAAGAACTTTAGCAGCTATAAATGAATGGAACATATCAAGGCTGTTTTAATTGCAGTTCAGGAACTTACTCTGCACATAATCCTCTTGATTTGACTGGTCCAATTTCTTTAGTAACATCTGCAATTGACAATACCGCTCTTCCCAGTGCAACTTTTTAATTTCCTTTGGACTATCCAATAATGGAGTAGCAGAAGAAACTGGATGGTTATTGGGTTCTGACGGTGGTAACATCATACCAGACTTTCCAACAGACGATGGAACTGAAGCTTTTGCAGATGGAGTCATTGAGGAAGCCTTTGGGAGAGGAGAAAATGCTGGAAAACAAGAAACTTTAGGCTCTTTTATTTGGGGCTTTGATTGATTAGTTCCCTCCAGGTTGTCAACTTGCCTTAGACAAGGGCCACTAGTGTTCAAGTTGACGCCATCACATGTGCTGGTTTTGCCAAATTCTGGTTCAGATTTTCTACGGACATAAACAAGATGCGCATTTGGGGAATTACCACTGGGAGATTGGTCTTGAGAGGGGTTCAGCCACGCTGGTGGCCTCTTAGTTCCAGAAACCTTGGTAGTATCAATAGCAGCTCCTCCATCCTTTGTATATGGAGAATTGCCATTAGAGTTGGGCACCACCATTCTATTTTCATTCTGTGAATCTCTCAATGGTGTCTTCTTTAAAGCAACTGGAGGTTGCTTCTCACAGGCGGGTGGGCTATTTTCGGGATTGTGTAGCCCATACTCACTGACTTTGGAGTCGATCATTTGTTGAACCATTGATGTACTCTTAACTCTGATAAAGAAATTCAGGTGGTCACAACAATTATATGTTTCTGAAACTAAATTAGAGAAAAACGGCTTACAAAAGAAATATCCCTAATATATTCAAGAACTTTGGTAAATGATGAAATACAGAAAAAGGAAAAAATAATAATAACAATGACTAGTCTGATTTCCCTGATTAGTTTGAAATCACCATAATGCACTGACAACACAAAATGTTAGTTCCAATTAAGTCAATTAAAGTTTATAACTTCATATATCTGTCTGTGTATGCGGAAAATGTACAGATGAGTATGACACAAGCAAGATCCATTATGACGCAAAATTACAAGAAAATGTACTCCTCGCACTTCTTAAGATGCAAAACTAAAGGTTAAGCTATTAAGCCAAGGGCTGTGTATCCAAGAGCATGTGGGCTGCATCAACCAGACAGTTTGAGCTAATAGTAGAACTAGATATGATGCAACAGCACCGTATATTTTCATTTTGAAATTTATTAGAAAGGACAACATAGGCAACTCATTGGACACACATGTCCAATCCATAAAACATCTCGAACTGCAAAACATCTACAATTGCATGCTCTTCCATCTATGCATATGTGTTCTCTTCTTCCTACTTGTCATGGCAAAACATTTATGCTTTCCTTACCGGATTTAAACCGTCATATACGGTATCAGTACAACAACTCTCTACCACATTTGAACCATCATCTTGTCTCTATTCATTTTATAAACTACCACCTATAAATTGCTTACACCTTTAAGCCAGTTAACCAGATTAGAAGGTAATAAATTGAATTACCTGCATTTAGGAAAATTCAAATTACCATAACAGGTGTACTAATTGGTTACCTGAAGTTTATTAAGAAAAAATTTTAAAGATTTATAACCAATCAATATGTTTCCCCTGCATTAAACAAGATTATAAACCCAATTCCATGACAGAAACGAAACCAATACCGACCAAAAGCAGCACGAATTCAGATGCAGATGACAAATCAGAAAGTACATAGACCTTCACAGACTAACAACTCGCAGCTATTTCTATCAATCTTCAATTTCCTCAGCAAATTCGTAGCAAAATGGCTCAAATCAGAATACCCTATACTCAAAGCAGTTAATTTTACCCAAATAAAGAACCAAATTGCTCTGAAATGCATAAAAGGAGAAACACCCATCAAATCAAAACCACAAATTCGAACGAAAATCAAAACCGCGCAGTGCAAATCAAGGTTTGATCGTGTTACACTAAATCCGACCCACAAAGAGAAAAAGGAAAGAGTCAATCAAAGCGAACTGCTAAGACGCAAAATATAAAGAAAATCAAAGATCAAAACAGGAAAGATGAGCCACATTACCTTAGCTCAATGAAGACGCAGGGAGGGAGAGGGAAAGGGAGAAGGGGAGAGAAATGACGGGGTTTCAAAAGCAGAATGCCTTGCCACTAACCAAGGGACATAAATTGCCATATGGGGTTCCATACTTTCATTATTAATCCTTAGCCCCCGACGGTTTCTGGGCAAATCCGTATTGAACTAAAATTTTATTTTAACTATAGTCGCCTTCTTTTCCCTTTTTGTAAAATAAATCCTCTATGATTTCATTTAAAATTATTTTCAATTTTTGGTAATTACAATTACATTTTTTTCTCATAGTACTAGCAGTAAAAAAAAAAAAAATGAGTTCACCAAATACATCTTCGTTTTCTCTCCTTTTTTTTTTATAAATTAAAAAAAAATTCATCAATGTCAAAACGCTTTTATTAAGAAAATAATTGAAAAAATATGTATAGTAAAAGGGACTATCAAAAATTGAAATTTGTTGATGATTAAAAAGTCATGACTTTTTATAAAATTATTTAAATATTTTTGATAAATTAATATATAAAAAATATTTATTAAAAATAAAAAATCTTAATTAAGATTTCTTAATTTTTACATTTTTAAAAAAAGTAAAAATTATTATAATTGTCATTTCAATGACAAGATAAAAGTCCTTTTTTATTATTGTCGCTTAATGTTTTTTTATTATGATAAGACTGTTCGTTGAATTGGTGACCTTCCACTGTATCATCTTTCCCCAAATGGAGAGACTCCACCAAAAATGAAGAGGCACCATTCCCTCAAAAGTAAAAAGGAAGAGGCGACGCACTTTAAGAATAAAATAAAATAATAGTAAAAATTAAAATATCTTGATTATATATATATATCTAAAGTTTATTTATAAAATTATTAAAATATTTTTAATAAATTTCACTTTGTATTGATTTATTAAAAATTATTTAAGTCTTTTCTTTCATTATTTTTAATATTTTAATTATAAAATTTTGTTTTTTTTTTTTTTGGAAATTAGGCAATGAAAAAAATATGTTAGTTTTTCTTAATCTCATAAAATAATATAACCATAAAAAATACTACCTCCAAAGCATAGGATCCCGATCCTTTATGATACTCTCTTTTCTTGTTCCTATTCCCTTTTTTGGATCCTTGAGAATATCTACGCTCCTTTCTTACTATTATTTTTGTTTAATGATATAATTGGCATATTTTCTTGTTGGGTAATTTTACTGAATTTTTTTATTTATTAATAGGAGTATCATTTGAGAATAGTGGCGGTTAGTCTCACTCTAGATAGACTAAAATAACTCCTTTGAAAATTTCCGCAAAATAAACCATTTTAATAATTTCAATTATAGTTTATTATAACCACATAATTTTAAGCTTTGAGTTACCAAGGGTAAAGTTCGAGTACATAAAAATATTATCAAAAATTTTGCGTAAAAACTGCAGTAACCTATAGATTAGTTAACAAATGTAGTAGTAAAAGACTTAAAATTTGGCAAAAATACATTCTTTTTTTAAGTTTCCAACAAAATCACATAATAATAAACTCGGTAAAATAACAGATAATTCATGACACAACACATGGATCTACAAAGTACTTAAAACTTTTCACCAAAAGTACTTAAAATTTGGAAAATAATGATATCCTGTATGTACATAACAAGGAGGGGGGAGAATAAGCCTGTATCCACAAGTTCACAGGTATGTGATGGTGCCCATTCTCCGTGGTATCCAAAGGCACCAAGCCGAAAAAATTAATCGTACATGTCCATATGAGATTTCTTTGTTAAATGTAACAGGATGACCTGTGAAGGATTACTGGCCGAGGTTTCCTAGAAGTCGCTCTACCGCAGCATGGACATTTCCACCAGTTGCACGCAGTGCCCTAATATTCTCTTGTGTGTCGGGGAAACCCATTTCTTGAAGCTGTGATAGCTGAGTTGCATATAGTTCTTCTGGGGGAACTGGAAAGGCCAAAAGACAGAATCAGCAGTGCCCTGAAAATGTATTGGCTGCAATTACGCAAGGCAATACCAATGGTGTTAGAATTCTTACCATTGGGTTGGTTGGGAGCACTCAAGCTTCCAGCTCCAAGACCACCAAACATGTTCATCAACATCTCCAGCCCAGCATTATTAGGAGTTCCTGAAATGCAGATACGTTAACAAAAATCTTGCATGCACAAAGTAAAATAAGATGATGGAAATTATGAAAATATAACAAGGAAAGGAAGCGGTAATTGGTTATTAAGAATCTGACTAATATTTTTCATCTTAGATACCTGTAGTTGCTCCTGTCTGTGCTGAATCCCTGAAAGAAAGCAAGATGGTGATACAGAACTTGTATTATCATCTCTGAACAATATGCTTTACAATAAAGATAATGAGATGTCAACTCTATGAAAACTAAACATGCAGTAGGACAATCATACTGAAAATGCCAAATTATCGATCCAACAAAAAACTTAAGATAAAGAGGAGGCACTAATTACGTACTGGGTTGACTGCTGCCGATTAAGCTGGGACAGAAATGATTGCTGTAAAGCTAACATTTGCTGCAAGCAATCATCGAAAAGAGGAAAAAAAAGGTGAAACATGGGTTAATTAGAACTTCACTTCAAAAAAAACAAAATAGTTAACAAGTAACCAATGAAAAGATCAAATGATCTGACAGTATCCATGCAGCCAGCTCTGTCATTATTTGAGCTATTAGTCAGAGAAAAACAATTATGCAGATGCAATGCACAACCACAAACCTCCATATGCATCTTTAAAGTATCTTTCCATGTACATTTGTGGATACAAAAATTAAATAGAGTGAGTGTTGAGACTAAAGAGATGCAAACTCATGAGACAAACCTGCATTGTCTCAGGGGAAAATAACTGACGAAGTAGCTCTGGATTTTGCATCATTTCTCTCATTTGAGGATTTAAATCAACCATTCCACGTAACTGGGGATAGAGATTGAGCATCTAAAAGGCAAGAACAAAATCATCAACAAAACTAAACAGGAAAATGACTACTTACAGCTGAAATGATCAAAACTGAAAAGTACCTGATTCATGTATTGGGGATTTGAGAGAAGGTTCTGCATCAACTGTGATATGGCAGGATTTTGCAATAACTGAGCCAACTGGGCAGCATCTGGTGTTCCATTAAGCATATGTCCCATATCTGAAAAAGCAAGCCCTCCCAGACTACCAATACCTGTTGCACTTGCATCCAAAGCAGGATTTAACCTTGCTGTACTGTTTGTCTGGGTTCCCCCTGATAACTCATAGCACATGGTTTTTTGTTAATAAAATCTAGGTTCAAAGCACAAGGAAAACATACACTGGACTAAAAAGTATGCCTAGATAAGAAAATATCATTAAATAAAGGCACTGAAGCAGAAAGTTTACCACCAGCACCAATATTATTCCAAGGATTAGGAAGTGGGTTTGAATTTGGAGCAGCAGGGTGTCCTCCAGTTGTTTCAGAGCCTGTGGTTGAAGGGGTGTTGGATGCATCCCTAGCTTGTGGCCCACCTTGGTTCCCTAAGAGAGCTGAAAATGGGTTTGAACCTAAATTGTTTCCACTATTGCCCATCGTTGTAGCATTCAAGAATGGTTCCTGAACATTCTCATACATACGCCTGAGCATGTTAAATCCCTCTGGAGAGGATTCAATATTACTCATTGCCCTATCGGTATTGCGCATCATTTCACGCATTAGTTCAGGGTTCCTGGCAACATCTAATGTCTGACGAAGAATGCTGGGATCATTAAGTATATGCCCAAGCTCTGGATTCCGATCAATGATCTCACGCATTTGAGGATTGCTCATTATCAAGCTACGCATCAACTCAGGGTTATTCATCAAGCTCTGCATAGCCGGCATGTTCATTATATCTCTCATCATGTTGGGGTTCTGAGTCAGTTGTTGTTGTACTTGTTCAAACTCTTGCAATCCAGCTCCAAATAAACCAGATGCTCCAGTACCACCTAGCGAATTAAGTCCAGGGAATAGAGGTGCCCCTAGACCAGGACCTCCCAAGCCCCCACCTACATTGGAACCAACACCCCTTGTGACAGCTGGGGCAGTGTTAGGGCTTCCAGCATTTGTTGCAGCTGCAGGAGGTGTGGATGAAGCTGGGGCAAAACCACGAACCATGTGGACTGTGTGATCAGCCTGTAGACCTTCAGTTGTGAAGGATAAAGAACAAAATGGTCAAATAAAAGAAATCACAACATAATAGGGGCTTTAGAAACTGTGAAGGTTTCCAGTCATTAAGCAAAATTTTAAAATAGATCATTAATCTTAGTTGCTAATGTCATGGAGGAAGATTGTGCAACCAGGAAGCAAGTACTAATGTCCCCCCAACAAACAAATAAAACTAAAATTCCATTCCCAAATAATAATCCAAACAGAAATATTAAACCTATTAACAATGTTTCTCCAAAATAAAGGAGAAAATCAACAACCAATATTCTTCAAACTATTGGACCTAGACGTCTAAGTCACAGTTTTCACTTCCATTTTCATTAAAAACCAGTTCAATAGTACAAAAGCATCCAAAATAGTCACAAAATCCAATATCAAACTATAATTGCAACATTTTTCAAAGATTATCAAATCCCATTAACCAAAACAAATAAATAATAATAATAATAAACACAGCGGAAATAATAGGTAAAGACAAACACAAGCGCAATGATTTTATTATTGAATTCTAACATCTTCAATTAATCCCCATGCTAGATAGCATCAAAAACCCAGAAATCAAAAACAAATAAATGAGGGGGGGAAAAAAAAGGACTAAACAAACTACCATAGCTTTCAAGGGTTTGTTCATCCTTCAAGATACGACCCTTGTAAATCAACCGTTGCTGATCAGCTGGGACATCACAATTCTGAGACAAAACAGCCTTGAACGATCCAACCGCAGAATCCAGGCTCGTCCTCACCGAAAACTTGGTACCATTCGAGCACCGAATGTTAATCATCACTCCTCCGTCTCCGTCTCCTTCTCCTTCCCCTCCTCCATTGCCGACGACTCTAGTCTCGCTTGAATCACCGTCTGCACCCATATTCCCTCTTCCCAAATCCCCGAGAAAATCCAAACAGATCGATCGAAAACCCTAACCCTAAACGAAAACCCAAGAATCCGTTCTATGATTTTCCTTTCAAATCTGTGTATAATTCCATTTTTTTTTCTAGAAAATAAAAATTAAAAACACTGAAACGAGATTATCGGGAGGAAAAATGGAAATAAAATTGCGAAAATAAAAATTAAAAGAAATAAAAGGAAGGACTTTTGACTTTTTGAGATTGGAAGAAAATGTGGAGTTTTTTCCGAAGAGAAGAAATGTTTGGGGAAGGGAAGAAGAGTAGATGTGAATGGAATATCCTATTCCGAATGTACTGTTTTAACCAATCAACAACTGACACGTTTGATGCAAGTGGGGATTGGGATGTAAATTAATCTCCCATACAAATGACCTGCGACGCATTAGTACGAGGGCTTAATTCAATTTTTAGTCTATTAACTATCACCTTGATTTTATTTTAGTTTAGAAACTATATTTTATTTTTAAGTGATCTATTAACTTTCAAATTTATTTTAATTTGTCTACTTGGTCAAAGATAACTGAAAACTTCTTATTATGTAAGATAATAGTTAGTCCTCTAACTATATATTTTTTTATCTTTTAGTTCTCAAATTTATATTTGTTATAAAAATAGCTTTTATACTTAAAATTATTATTTTTAAGCTTTGATACCAAATTTTTATACTTAAAATTATTATTTCTAAGTGGTCTATTAACTTTGATGCTCTAATACCGAATTAAAGAAATAGGAAAACTCGTATAAAAATCTAGTATCAGAGCTTATAAAAAAAAAATTTAAATAAAAAAGTTATTTTTATAACAAATATAAATTTAAGGATTAAAAGATCAAAAAAATATAGTTAGAGGACTAACTATTCTCTAACAGAATAGGAAATTTTCCGTTATATTTGACCAACTAGAAATTAAAATGAATCTCAAACTTAATAGACCACTTAGAAACAAAACATAGTTTCTAGACTAAAATGAAATCAAGGTGATAGTTAATAAACTAAAAATTAAATTAAGCCTTAGTATGAGAGTCCTCAAACAACTTTTTGCACCATTTTTTTTTGTCGTACGTTCCTATTCATTGTTATTACTAATAATTATGAACAGTAAATTATTTAATTAATTTAATAGTTATTTCTGTTAAGGGTAAAAAATTTTGATTTCGAGTTATATATGATAAAAGATGAGAAATAATTATTTTTTTTGTGTAATTAAGATAAAAATAATAATAATAATTTAATAAAAAATTTTGATTTCGAGTTATATATAATGTGTATGAGATAAAAGATGAGAAATAATTATTTTTTATTGTGTAATTAAGATAAAAATAATAATAATAATTTAATAAAAAAATTTAAATTATTAATAATTATAATTATCAATAATTATATCAAATAGTCTATTATTGAAATAGTTTAATGGTTTTTTATTTTTTGAAGTATTGAGTTTGAGTTGATATGTAGGTGGATACAGAAAGGAAAGAAAAAAAAAATATTGTGTAATTAACATTAAAAAAATTATATTAAATAAAATTATTAATTATTAATTTTAAATTATCATACTAAATATTTTATTTAATGATTTAAGTTATCAAACTTAGTTTACACTATGCAATACCATTTTATTATTTTAATTTTGATTATTGTGAAATGAAATTTGTTTTTTTACTAAGCGAAAATAATGATTGTTGTCTGAAAATCCATTGTGTATTTATTATCATTTTCATACTTGAATGAGGACTCGAATTAACATTAAAGGAAAATTATTATGTAATTAAATTTACTTCGATTGCAATTCACCCAATCTTTTATTGTACCAGCTTTAATTACATATTTAAAGCATTTTTAATTACCGAAACTTTTTTTTTTTTTTTTGAACAAAGGCAACTTGAGGAAAAAGGGAAAAGCAATAACTCAATCCATGGTTTGCAAGAAGCACTTGTAACTTGTAGTTTAAGCGTAAATATTCAAATAATTAGTAAGAGTTAAATTCTCGACTATGCCAATCCAAATACTAAAAGTTGAAGAAAAATCACTAGACTTAAAGGCAAATTCTAATCACCGAAACCTCAATCATTAAGACAAAAAAGAAACCAACTTGTAAATCAAGTTATAACTCCTTGAAATTATTACCTTTTAGGTAGAAGTAACTCATTATTTTTACCATTTAAGCACCACTGTTTCTGTTACTGGTAGGTCCAAAATATCTATGTTTATTTCTTCTTGAATCAATCACAGCATCATTCATTTCTTCTTGGCAGGTTGTATGGTAAGTGATTCAACAAATATATGATCTTTTACTTGAATTGATCTGTTTCTGTTCATTAAAATTACTTATGTACAAAAAGAGAGTGTCATAGGAAAGAAATGGAGATACTAAACTTGAGTGTCAAGGGAAAGAAATGAAGATGCTAAACTTTGCTTACTGGAAAATGCTAGTTTCTGAAAGAACACAATTGTGGAACAGAGTTATTACATTGAAGACATTACTCAGACAGAACAAAACATATGTTTTAGGGAATTCAAGGAATATGTTCACACTTAGTCATATGTTGCAAAAGAGAACTAGCTTTTCTTTGTGCTCTAGTTGTTCCACATCTCACAAGATCTGTAAGATGTTCATACACACCAAACTGAAGGGAAGCCAATATAAGGGATGAATTCTTCAGCCCCAACTCAAGAAGAACCGATGTGGCGTATTCTTTGTTCTTTGGGGTGCCATTTCTTATGATTTCCACTAGGGTTTTGATGAAAGGAAGTCGCCCGAGTTCATTGTGACCCTCAGGATGAGATGCAAGAAGTGACAAAATTGAGAGTGCTTCATCAACCATGCCCAAACTATTTTCTTCCAGTAAATGAAGTAATGGTGATATGATGCCAGCTTTAATGGCCATAGACTTGTTGGCCTTATTTAAGCACAAGTTAAAGAGAGCAGTGGCAGCATCTTTTTTACCTCTAGTTGTCCCATTTTGTAGAAGATGTATTAATGGAGGGATTCCATTCAAGGTTCCCACTAGAACTTTGTTCTCATCCAGCATAGATAAGCTAAATAGGGCTGCAGCAGAATTCTCCCTGGCTTCATCTGTTCCGGTTTGCAGGATATCAATTATGGCAGGAATGGCTCCTTCCCGGGCTATAAGTCTTTTGTTCATCTCATCAATGGACAAGTTCAAGAGAGCAGTCACGGTGTGTTCTTGAATCTTGGAATCAGGATAGGTCAGCTGCTGAACTAAGAAAGGGATTCCTCCACTGTTGGCAATCAAAATTCTGTTTTCTGGATTCTCTTTTGAGAGCATCCTGAGCCTCACGGTGGAATCTCTTCGATCATTCAGCTGACTCGAAGATAGATTTTGGATTAATGAGGAGATTTCCTCTATGAGTTCAGCAGAAGAACTATCACAAGAGGTGTAGTTGTCCTTCTTAGGCAGTTCGAAATTGTTCTTCTCACACCATTGCAGAATAAGGTTCCGGAGAGCAAAATTTGGTGCTAGTGAAAGGTGAGCCAATTTTTGTCCAGTCTTTGGGCAGGTTCGATGTTTTGAATTCAACCACTTCTCTATGCTCTCCCTTTCATAAGTCTTGACAAAAGCAAGATAAACTAATCAGTTGTCTAATATATATGCCTACTCTTAAGGCATGTCATAGAATTGTAGCTTGGATTTCAATATGAGATTACCTGTCCAGTTGCCACAATTACAGGGTCCGTCATGATCTCTAGTGTAATTGGGCAGAGAAATTCATGAGGGATGAGCATGGATAGACACTTCTGTAAACTTTTTGATGACATAGGACAATCAAGAGCAGTTGCATCATCAAGCCCTGCCACTTGCTTGAATTTTCCCAGGAGATCCATAACATGCTGTGTGGTTTCATTCTGCCCAGCTCTCTTAACCAATTTCCTTATAGCTGTAGTTTCCTCTGTCAAATCTGCAATCGTATGCAAATCCAACTTTTTTGCCAGTCTTTCTAATATTGCACTATCTGCATTACGATCTTCCATTTTTGAGAACACAACCATCATATCCATTGCTAACTCCATATCTTGTGTATCTGCTCGCCCCTTTGCTCTTTTAAGTTGCATTCTCATCAGCTCAACCTAACGAACAAATTACTATATACAAGTAAGTACTCAAGATATCCAAAAAGAGAGAAATGACTGTTTTCCTCAAACATACAAATTTGTTTTCCAAAAAGCTATGAATTACTTTCCACAATCCACAGCAATTAATATCCTTTTCACATAGGCATTTTATCAAACACCTTTTGAATTGAAGATTCCATCAGATACCCATCGTTTCAGTAAAATTCATTCTCTTTTTGGTATCTAAGGATTGGCTTAACTTCTTAAGTTCATAAATCTAAGAAGGCATACTAGTGGAAACAAAAGAATACCTATACGGGATTAAAAGCAGATCACAATTACCCACAAAACATCAGATCTAACCAAGAAAGGGAAAAGGAAAATATTACTTGTTCTTTCACTTCAACTGAAATCTGGAGCTGATCGAGAGGGACTTCATCAAGAGCCTGATTTAACTTGTCATAAACAGCATGAAATCGACTCGTCACTGCCTCACTCTCCATTGCCTAATTTTGACAAACAAAAATGCAAAAAGTAATAACTCCACACAAGAAAAGCACAACACAACCTGCAAAAAGCATAAAAAAAATGAGATCAGAGCACCACAAGCTTACCAAATAAATCTTGCTTCCATAGTTACAGTCCTTCAACAACTTCTTTGCCGCAAGAAGTGCCTTCTTCAAATTAACCAATGAATTCAAAGCCAACCCAGAAACAGATTCCTCAAGCTCTCTCATCTCCTCCAATAATGGAATCAAAAGCTTCAATCTTCTCACCAAATTCAAGCACTCCTTCCTCTGAGTCTTCCTGTACCCTGTGTATGATCCAACCGTATCTATCACTTCCATCAACTCCCTAACCACATCACTCCCATCTCCACGGTTTGATGACCCTCCAGAACTCGAATCCATTCTCACTTCACTCCTTCTCCCCCTGTACTTCGATTTTCTCAAGAAAGAGAAAGAAAATGAAAGGGTCCGTGCAACACTCTGGAGAGGTGTTTTGTAATTATATTTTTTTAAAAATTCTTTATGTGGCGGTTTTATTAGATAATGATTGCTGATTAATTGACAACAACAGTTAGCTCGCGGTCATTGCGGACAACCGAAAGGCAAGGCAATGCAATGCTATAATTATAATGTAAGATGGGACATGATACTAAATACTAAATGAACGAGTAGGATTTTTGGATCCAATGCTTCTTCACTAATAATTTGAAATAAACAATCGCCTGTTTCCTGCCATTCCCCTTTGTTTGAAATAAATAAATAAATGAACATATGATTGGTGTTATATGAATAATTTTTTATATTATTTTTTGATATAATTTTTATTTATTATTAAATAATGAGATGTATTTAGTATTACGAGTTTCATATAAATTAAAAAAATTAATTATTTAAATAATAAATTAAATTATACCAAAAATTAATATAAAAAAACCATCCCAAAATCATTTTCTATAAACATATTTTGCTTTTTAATATTGGAATGAGAGTCAAACTTTACGCAGTAATATTAACATGAGAAGATCTTAATAAACAAAAGTAATCATCACACCACAGAGACATTTTTTAATAAATATTGATATGGTATTAAATTAATAAATAAATATAATATTATAAATAAATTATTAAATAAAAATAATTAATTATATAATCACATTTTATATTATAATAGTACCTAAGATTATAATATATAACATTTTCAAGAGCAGAAAAGGTAATGTGAATTTGAAAAAATAGTTATGCAGCCCACGCGGTTTTTTGACAATGGGACGCGGATTCATGTGCGCCTTTCCTTTCTGTATTTTTTTCCCAACATGCGTGTCTTTTTTGGATTGTTTTCTACGTTAAGAGACCCACTTCTTTAACTTTTTGTTAATGAGACAGCAAAATGAGTTTTACAACCCAGAGAGAGGTGATGTCATTTAGATAGAAGAGCAGTATAATAACAAAGCAAAAGAGTGAGGTCTGTTTCATAAACACATCAAATTGTCATTATTTTGTAAGTGATAAAGAAATGTCACGGAATTTTCCATACAAAAGGGACAAAATATAGCCTCCCATGACATAAAAAAAAAAAAATTACTAACAACCTATTGTTTTAAGTGAAAAGAGTTCAATTTTCTTTAAATAAAATCTTAAGTTTGAGTATTGTGAATAGATAAATAGATGTTAGGAGAACTTCCTCTTAATGGGATCTAACGCAAGTCGATTTCAGATTAATCAGATCCAATGTGATTATTGGATAACGAAAAAAGTTAAAAAAAAAAAAATAACATACAAAATTTGTCAAACAGATATAAATTGTCACGGTTCCAAAGTAGAATACTAGTATTGTAAGCAACAACCACTTCAATAGTTCATTAATAATAATAATTTTTTTTAACTAGAAGATTCCATATTTAAGAGTAAGTATAAGTAGGCGTGAGTGAAGAACGAAAGCATTACATTCTATAAGCGAAAATAAAAACCAGAAGAAGGACTAGTGGTCTTTGCAACAAGTAATGATACTTCATCTCCAAGACCACCTGACTTGGTGAAAATCACCGTATCATTGGAATTAAGTTCAAGCTTGGACAATACAAATTTAGACTTGCTTTGAAAGTATTTAGGTATAGTTACAATCGTAAGTTTTTTAGTTTTTTTAATATTAAAAAATATATAAAATTTAATTAACATTTGACATATTTTTAAAATAATAAAATACATAAAAATTTAAAATTAAAACACCAATATATGTTCTCAAGTGAAACCTTACTCGACCTTGTAATGATAAGACCTCCACAATGAACAAATAATTTGTGAACTATTTACAACTTGCCATTAAATTCCCCCGAATTTAAGATGTAAAACAAGTCATTTTATCACCTGAAATTTCCTAGGAGGGATAGGACCGTCTGGTCTTTGGACTCAATTAGGAATGAGTTTCAATCTCATGAGGAACTGATTGAGAAAATTAAAGGTGTAAATAAAAATGTCAACTTTATATATATTTTTTTATTTAAGTACAAAGTTGACATTAAATTTCCCTGAATTTAAGATGTAAAACAAGTCATTTTATCACTTCAATGTC